GTTCCATCGCGCGGCCCACACCATCCGCCACCACAAACTGGAAAAGAACAGCCTGCCGTGCTTCAACCTGCTGCTGGAGAGCCTGTACGCGGCCAAGGAATACAACGAGGCGGATGCCATGATCCAAGCTGTGGAGGTGGAGATGATGACCACCTCGGTGATTAATCAGCCCGTGGATCCCGGCAGCGGCTGCTACCTCGAGAGCAACAGCGTCTTTGGCGGCGAGGAGAACAGCCGCAACGAGCTGTTGGCCTCCATCTTCCTGGTGAAGGGCAAAGTGTACGAGGCGCTAGACAACAGGGGCACAGCCATGGACTTCTATGTGCAGGCGCTGCACAAATCTATATACTGCTTTGAGGCACTGGAAGCTCTCGTGCAGCATGAAATGCTGATGGCCTGGGAGGGTGAGTAGTAGCAGGAGTACGTCTGCACGCAGTACCTCTGTATTTGGTTCCTTCTTCCCTCCAGAGTTCGAACTGATGCACCACCTGCCGCTGGCTCAACAATCCAGTGAAGCGGATGCCAAATTAATCCTGAAATTGTACGAATCGCGCCTGAAAAAGTACTACGAGCTGATATCTGCACGAAATGGCGAGGAGATATCGCCCATTGTCAATCCGGATGTGCTCAAGTTTATCAAGGAGTTCACGGCACGCGTGCAGCAGACCTGCTCCTCAGAGTCGCAGATGCCGAAGGTGAGCGCCTTGAAGGTGCCCCTGACACCGAGCCAGTTCGTGTCGCCAGCACAAAAGTGAGTCTCAGGCAGATGCCCAGCTGTACCCAGAGATTTATAAAATTAATTGTCCCATTGTTAGAGTTCTGGAAGACTTGAAGGCTCCTTCGTTCTCGCTGCAGACGAGCCTCTCGCGCGCTTCTTCCCTTATTGATGCCACACATCGCTCCATCTTCGATGCCTCCAGTCGCCGACGCTCGCGGGACCACGAGACAGACACTTTGGTTCCTCTGGGCGAGTGCCTCACGCGCGTGCAGCGCAGCACTGACCTGATGGCCGCCGAGGCGGAAAAGTGCTTCTACGACTGTGACTACAAGCAATGCGTGAAGATTCTGAATGAGTGAGTGCGAGGGCTGAATATCATCATTCATTGACACACTAATCCAATTCCGATAATGTATCTCGTGTAGCCTCCTGAAGATCGATCCCTTCCACAACAATGCGTTGACCATACAGATCGCCTGCCTGGTGGAGAATGGAGACTTTAATCGCCTGTTCTATGTGGCACACAAGCTGGTGGATCGCTATCCGGACAAGGCCATCTCCTGGTACGCCGTGGGCTGCTATTACGATATGATAGGCAAGAGCGATCCAGCGCGTCGCTATTTGTCGAAGGCCACCGCTCTGGATCGGCTGTATGGGCCAGCGTGGCTGGCCTACGGCCACTCCTTTGCCAACGAGAACGAGCACGAGCAGGCGATGGCCGCCTACTTCAAAGCTACCCAACTGATGCGCGGCTGCCACCTGCCGCTTCTCTACATCGGCGTGGAGTGTGGCCTCACCAAGAACTTGGAGCTGGCCGAAAAGTTCTTTATGCAGGCCATGAACATTGCCCCACTGGATGTGTATGTGCTGCACGAGCTGGGTCTGATCAAATACGAATACGAGTACGGGGGGGCAGCCACCATCTTCCAGTGCACCGTGGACATTGTGAAGCAGCGAGCGAAGGCCAACAACGAGGAGATATCCGCCCGCTGGGAGCCGCTCTTCATCAATTTGGGGCACTCTTTGCGCAAGATTCACAAGTACGAGGATGCCCTCTACAACTTCCAATACGTAAGTGCCTCCTCAAGGGATTTATTCCAGCTCTAATCTGTGTAATCTGTGATCTTTTCTAGGCCCTCCTGCTGAAGCCGCAGAGTGCCACCACGTACACTTCCATTGGCTTCATCCATGCCCTTTTGGGCGATCTGGACTCGGCCATTGAGTCCTTCCACAAGAGTCTGTCCCTCAACCGCGACTGCATTGTCACCTCCACCATTCTGAAGTCCTGCATTGAGGATCTGATGGATGATACCACCACAATCGACGAGATTTGCAGCGCCGCCCTGCGCGATGTCGCCAAGAAGATTACGGCCAACAGCCGGCGGGTCCTCAATTCGGATAAATTCAACGGCATGAAGCTGAAGTTCGACGAGGATGAGGAGTATGCCAACTCCAATTCCGACTCGAACATGGTGGTGGAAATGAGTTTCGATACCTAAGTACCCACCTCAATGTCAGCCCATCCCCTCGATCGTTGCTGCTGCGTTTGTGCGTGTGTGTGCTCCATGCACTTGAACTTAATTTCGTGGCTACGGCACACACAGATGTTCGTTCTAATGAGGCAGTGGCTGTGGCAGCAGCAGAGGCTTGGGATTTCTCCAGTCAGTGATGTTTTTCCCCCGCGTGTTCCATTTGAAGTCGCCGACGCCGCCGTCATGCGTTGTGCCAACATTTGTGAATACCATTTAGTCGTTTAGTATTTAAGAGTGCGAATAAGTCTCATTTCAGAATATAGTCCCATAAGTGCCCATTAAGGGGGGTCTCGCGTCTCCAAGTTCTACATTGTAACTACATTTTGTAAACAAGAAATCTTAGTTTTGTGTTAGAACATCTTTGGTAATTTAAGAAGTGAATAAGTTGAACTTATTGATGGTTTTCCGATACACTTGACTATTGAAAAAGCAAAAGCACTTCCCATCTTAATGATTTCACAATTAGTTTTTGATTTTTAAGCAACTTTTTCAAACGATTTTTTAATTAAGAAGTAAAATAACTCCTACATTAAGTGTGTGTGAATCAAAAAATGATAACCTATTTTAATTGAAGGCTTTTCCCTTTACAAATTTAAAGAACTAACATCTGGTGGGTTCAAAGAGGGAACTGAATTTTCATCTTGCAGCTTTTTCACTTATCGCTTTGTGATTCCATTGGTAAATCCCAAACCTGAACCCCCCACTATTGTCTTGCTTCTTCCCTTATCGTTCATAGACCAGAACTCTCTTCCAATGCCATTCGTGTGGCAGTCGAGCGCGTGTTGGAACCTCCTTGAGAATGAATTATTTAAGAGTTCACTATTATAATGTTCCACTCTAAATCACAGGCAAAATATTCCAAAACGGAAGAATATCATCCATAAAGCCAAGAGGTCGCTGGTGCCGTAAGATAATGCTCTTATCGGTTATCGTTTGGGGGCGGCAGAAAATCACGAATTAAGTGTCGTTAAACTTAACTTTTGGATATGCAAACAAACTACTGATACACTTTATGGCAATAGCTGGAGGAGAACACAACTGAGCGGAGCAACCACAGGCCAAATATTTGCAGAGCCATATAGCCAGCCATAAAGCGTGTGACAAAACCAGAGGCGATGACAATTGCTGCGACTGGGAGTGGGAGTACGGCTGCGAGGAGTACGAGACCCGTGAAGGTCTGTGGGGAAAACATGTTTATGCATATGAAAGCCGCCGGCTGCCGACGCGTCCGATAAAGAGTTGGGGGGCCCGTGAGATTATGCTGGCCATCGGGGGATATATAAGCCCGATCCCCAGCAGTACTCAACCACAGTCCAACGACGCCTTCCAATCGGCAAACACAAGCAACCAAAACCAAAACCCAATCCGAAACCGAAACCGAAACCATGAATAAAGTGTTTCTCCTGCTAGCTTTGGGTCTGGCCATCTGCCAGGCGGTGCCTCTGGCAGTGTCGTACGACGATGAGGATGACACGGAGGTGGTGGAGCTGCCGGGAAATGGAATTGAAGAGGAGCCAGCACCCGTCCTGGGCAAGGACATCATTGATTTGACGCAACTGGGCGCATCGCTGTACGGAGCGCCAGACCAGGAGCTGACGGCCGTTCTTGTGGGCAACTTCAGTGCTGACTCCGATGAGGTGAATCCCGAGGAGCTGGGCAGCTACCTGGAGGGCGACATGCTAGTGCCCCAGTCCGATCTGATCATGAAGAACGGCCTGCCCACCCAGTCCTCCCGCTGGCCTCAGGGCGTGGTGCCCTACGAGATCCGCGGCAACTTCAATGCCCGCGACAGGGCCACCATCGAGAACGCCATCGCGGAGTACCACCGCCGCACCTGCATCCGCTTCGTGCAGCGCAGCTCCCAGCGCGACTACATCTCCATTGTGAGCGGCAGCTCCGGCTGCTGGTCCTCCGTGGGACGCGTCGGCGGCAAGCAGGAGGTGAATCTCCAGAGCCCCGGCTGCCTCAGCCGCCCCGGCACGGCCATGCACGAGCTGATGCACGCCCTGGGCTTCCTGCACGAACAGAACCGCATGGAACGCGATGGCTACGTGGCCATCCAGTACGGCAATGTGCAGTCGTCGGCGATGAACAACTTCGAGAAGGCCGCCCGCACCGAGGCCTTTGGCGTGCCCTACGACTATGGCAGTGTGATGCACTACTCGAAGAACGCCTTCTCCATCAACGGACAGCCCACCATTGTGCCGATGGTAAGAGGTTCCTTCCTTTATATGCCTGAAATCCTTCATTTCCTTCTGCCCACAGCAATCCAAGGGCGCTGACCAAATGGGCCAGCGCAATGGCTTCTCCGACCTGGACATACAGAAGCTCAACCGCATGTACGACTGTGGATCGGTGGGAGCCTCGCCCATCACTGCTCCTGCACCTGCACCTGCACCCGCTGCTGGCAGCGGTAATCCCATTGTAGACAGCTTCCTCGGTGGCCTCATCAGCGGCTTGGGTCTCGGAGAGGAGGAGGACCAGAAGCAGAAGCAGGAGTAGGACAAATGATCCAAGATCCAATTAACCAACAGAATCTACTAGCTCTAACGAATCATCAACGCACGAAACTATTTAATGCATTCCCCACAACCACAAGCACAACCACAACCACAAGCATCTATGAATCTATCAAACTTTAGCTGATATTTAGTCTTAAAATAATTGAATAAAATGTTGACAAGAATGATGAGAATGATGTATGAGTCCACCCACTCCTCTATGTACGGTCAAAAACTAAGTAAAACAAATTATAAATCCTGGCTGGAAGCTGTATTATAATTAAAACCAAACAGATGCGAAAAGGGCTTGGGGACACTACATATTCCTCTTGGCGGCCAGCAGGCGGGAACGTGGCAGACGGCACTGGCTGATGCTGTGCAGGCGGTACTGCATCTCCGGCTGGGTGACCTTCTCGTAGAGCTTCTTCCTGGCCTCAGAGACGGTATGGATGAGGACGCCATCGCCGCCATCGTCCATGTTGAAGGCCTCGCCCTCGGCGCACTCGGGGCACTGCTGGGTGAGCACAATATCGTTGAGATCGGTGGGCAGCTCGCAGATCTTTTCGATCTGCTTGACCACATAGTCCATGCGGCCCTCTTCCTGGCGCTCCATCACGTAGACGCTGGCGGTGATCTCCTGGACGCGCACCTCGAGCAGCTTGCAGAAGCGACTGAAGTTCACCAGATTGACGTGGGTGTGGTCGCCCAGGAGCAGGGCCAGTGGAGAGGCATCCATGGAGCACATCTCGCAGATAGTCTCGAGGCCCTGCAGCAGGTTCTCGAGGCGTGCGTCGTTGCTCTCGCGGGCCTTTTGCAGCTGCATGTTGGAGTTCTGCTTGCGGGCGACCTGCCCCTCGAGGCTGGCGATCTGCTCGACCTGCTCCTGCAGGGTGTTGGAGTTGTCCCGCTTGAGGGCGATGATGTCCTCGAAGAGGCGGTTCACCGAGTTGTTCAGCAGCGTGATGTGGTAGGACATCTCGTTGGCGTAGTTGAAGAAGGAGTAGTAGAGACTCTCCTGCTGCTGGAACTTCTCGATCACCTCCTCCACGTTGTTGGAGTCCGTGTAGTCGAGGATCTTCTGCAGCACCGAGTTGTACAGGTTGATCTTCTTGTTGTGCAGCCGCCGGAACTCGTCCCGCCGCCGGTACTCCTTCGGCTGCAGGTCCGCCAGCTCGCGGGGCTTGGCCTTGCACTCGAGGAAGGCGGTGTTGTCCCCATCGGCGGCCACCCGCCGCATGATGCCCTGCATCTCGACGCGTCGCACCTCCCGCTCCTTGGCCTCCCGCTTGGCGATGTTGTCGATCTTCTCGTAGACATCGATGCACCCATCGAAGGTGTTCAGCGCGTACTCGATGAGATCTATCAGATACTTCTTGTCGCTGTTCAGCTTCTGCACCATCTTCGTGTAGGAATCGTTGAAGAAGGTGCGGTGGTTGAGGATGCGGATGAGCTGCTCTCGCAGCTCCGCATTGGCCGCCGTGAAGCCGCACTCCTGGCGCACTCCCACCTCCAGTGAGTTCTCCAGAATCGTCATCTTCTTGCGCACACGCCCCACATGGGCCTGGTGCTGCTGATCGGGAACCGTGAGGCGATTCAGGTTGTAGATCTCCTTGTTCACGCGACTGATCTCACGCTCCACGTTCGTGACGGAGGTCTTGAGGGTGCCTAGGTCCAGGGCCAGGTTCTCCTGGCAGTCCACATGGCAGCGTATCAGCTCCAAGTATCGCTGGTTGTTCTTCTGGTGCGTCGTACCGCTGGCCACCCATATCTGGGCTCTCAGATCGTTCTTCTCGTCCTCCAGCTGGTCGATGGCATTCTCATAGCTCGCCTCGATGATCGTGTCCTTGCGCGACTTCAACTTGCCCGAGAGGATCTTCTTGTACTCGCGCTGTCGCTTCCCCAGCTCCTTGTGCTTCAGCAGGTAGCCCTCCAGGAACTCCGTCTTGTTGAACGGTTGTATATCGTCCATTCTGTTAATTTCTCTAACTCAAAACCAAAACTAATAATTAAACTAACTCAGCTAAATCGTTCTCTACAGATGTGGAGTGTAAACAGGAATGGGAATAAAGTTTTGCCAGTTTTGTGGCCCCTGTGAATGCTAGGAATTTCCGAATAGTTTTGATCAAGCCCAAAATGTTAACTGCCTAAATAAGGTTGACCTTTAATGCCAGGAGTACTGTTCTTGAATGAAATACCGAGGCAGTAAATGGCAACGAAATGGGCAGTTCTGCTGTGACTGTGTCTTCTGAGTCATCGCAGGTTTAGTTCTACCTTCGTTTTCATTAATTTCTTAAGTTTAGGTATCAAGTTTTGAGGTACACAGTTAAGCCATTCTATTATATTGATATTTAATTAAATTGCCCGCCTCCTTGGGCGGGAACATTTTGTGCAAAGGAAAATTCAAAATTTTGGACAACATCGGGGATCGAATGGGGACTACTGTTGGGAAATGCCGGAGCTCTCGACGGCATTGAAGATCTTGAAGACGGCATAAATGTAGGCGGCCTTGCGCAGATCGTTGCACGTCTCGAATTTGTTGGCTGTGGCCTTGATGCCAGCGGCGGCTGACTCCATCACTGTCTGAAGCGCGGCATCCACGATCTCGGCCTCCTTGGTGCAGTCGCGAATGCGCATGAGGCGTTTGTTGGGCTCAATCTCGGGCTAGGGATTGGGAAAGTAAAATGTGTTACAGAGGACCATTTACCATTTGCTTTCGATTCACTTACAAATTCAGCATCGGGACAGCGATTGAGGGACTCATTGATGGAGTTGATCACCTCGTGGATCAACTGGGACGTGGTCTTGGAGTTCATCTTGCCGTAGGAGACGTGATTGATGTTCTTGAGATACTCAAAGTACGAGACGGTGACGCCGCCAGCATTGCAGTACAGATCGGGCACCAGGAGGACGCCCTTGTCGATGAGGATCTTCTCGCCGGCGGGAGTGGTGGGCCCATTGGCGCCCTCAAGGATCAGCTTGGCCTTAATCTTGCCGGCATTCTCGCTGGTAATGACCTTCTGGGTGGCGCAGGGCATCAGGATATCGCATTCGGCTTCCAACAGATCTCCCTTGGCCTCTTGGGCCTTGGAGTAGCCCTTGATGGACTTCTTTTCCTCCTTGTAGGCAATCAAATCCTGCAGAAAACACCCATAAAAAGCTATCTTTCGGCTGCCTGGCAATGGGCTTACATTGATGTCGATGCCATCCTTGTTGAAGAGCTGGCAATCGAGTTCCTTGACGCCAATAAGCTTGGCTCCCGCTTCGTGGACAAACTTGGCGGCAAAGGAGCCCACATTGCCGAATCCCTGGACAATGACCTTCTTGTCCTCCCAGCCCGTCTTCCACTTGAGCAAGTCCATCCAGTCCTTGTCCTGCAGGAACAGATCCCCAGCCTTCCACACGCCACGCCCGGTGGCCGAGTTGCGTCCATTGATGCCGCCAATGTGCACCGGTTTGCCCGTAACAATGGCCGCTGCATTGATGTCCTTGTAGCCAAAGGTCTTCGAGTACTGATCCACTATCCAGCTCATCTCCCGTCCACTGGTGTTCACATCTGGGGCCGGCACATCGATGCCCGGTCCGATCATGTTCCGCTTCAGCAGCTCCATCGTGTAGCGACGTGTGATGGTCTGCAGCTCCCCGACGGTGTACTTCTTTGGATCGATGCGAACGCCGCCCTTGGACCCGCCATAGGGCAGGCTGACACAGGCACACTTGAAGGTCATGATGGCAGCCAATGCCTTGACCTCATTCTCGTCCACATCCATGGCATAGCGGATGCCTAAGCAAAGCAACAAAACAGATGCAGCATCTTCTATGAGAGAAAGAGAGAGCTTCAGAACTCACCTCCTTTCAGGGGCAGACGATTGCGTATGTGATGGGCCCGATAACCGGTGATTATCTCGTAGGCGCCATCGCTCTTAATGATGGGAAAGCTCACCTCCACGGAGGTGGTAACGCTTCCAATCAGATTGAGAATCGCAGAGACGCGAGCCTGTCGCTCCTCGGGCTTCATGTGCGAGTACTTGCCCATTTCCTTCACCAGCTGCGACTCCATGGCCTGTGCCGCCTGGTGGTAGTAGTAGAGTACCATGGCCGAGAACTCGGGATCCTTGTCGCTGGCCACCTTCTTCAGATGCTCGGGCATCTTGTGCTCGTGTCTGCGGCTCTGTATCTGCGACTGCACCGGCGCATGGGCCTGGGCCTGTGCCTGTGCCTGTGCCTGGGATCGCTGCTTGAACAGCGCCAATGTTAGATTGCGTAGCATTTTGGTTGATTTTTTGTAACAAAATAGTTGTCGGCTTTTAATTATGTGACTTTTACGAAACTCCAAAGAAATGTGGAAATTTTGGATTATAAACTCTGTGCTGAAAAACGAGACTCAGACTGAGGGAATGTACTCTACGCTCTGGCAAATGGCTTTTCCATGGTTAACTATGTTGGAATGATTTTTGATGATTTTTCATTTTGCTTTTATTTAATGTGTGTGTGGGGGGTTTATCGTATTATCGTAGTTTATCGCGTAGTTCTTTAATATTACAATGTATATAAATACAATATTTTAGAATTGCTCTACACACACCTGCGCCGTACATGCTATACATAATCTGTGTACTATATATAAAGTATCTGTTTGTTTGTGTGTGTTTGCGCTTAATACGTGGCTAAGCATCTAAGAGCTAGGACTTAATGTAGGGCCTAACCTAGGGGGGATACTACGACGCTATACTGCTATATATGCAGAAGAGTTCTTTAGATAAATGGAGTTCAACTGCTTTTGTTTAAAACTTTTGGGATCGCACGGAAGCACGCACAAGATACAGGGAGGATACCGGGGAACTTAGGTAGTTATCATATAAATACTAGGGGGGGGCGGGCCTCCTACTCATACATCATCTTTCTTCTTACCATATTTACAACTTGAAGTCTGCACGATTCTGATTCTGATTCCGCAATGTTGCCTTGTGGGGGGGGTTTTGAAATGATTATTTTAAACAGAGAATATTTTGCGCTCTAATATCACTTTTTGGGGGACACATTGCTTTTGCTTTTGTTTTTGCATATTGTTTATGGCATTGCACACACACACATACACACGCACACAGAATTTCCTCGAAATTGGAGCTGGGGGAGTGGGTGGGGCAGGGGCAGGGGTACTGCGAATCTCCTTAAATCTTAGCCTTATGAAAGTACAAATATTTTAAATTAATTTCAAATTAATTCAAAAGTCTAATTTTTACACAATAATTACAATTAACAAGTTGATGGATTGATTGGGTTTCTGGAACACTTTAATCTCGTTGCAAGATCGCAGTTCTTGGGGGGGGGAGGTGGCTGCTGGCTGGTGGCTGGTGGGTTGTGTGGCTGGTACTGCTGCTTAAAAGCTAACATCACGCTGATTAAAACAATATATTTCTGATCCGTTTTGTGTTGAGTACAATCCGTGACTGCCGCTGCGAGGAGCAGCTCTGACTCTCAATCCTGCTGCTGCTGCAATTCTTCTTTCAAGCAGCTTCCGTGCTGCTCTCCTGCTAGTCCACATCCTTCTTCTCAATCTTCAGATCGTACTTGGCCACCAGCTCCTCAGGTGTGTGGCTATAAAAACACATTCATTAGCTACTGTTTCGCAGAGGAGTTCCCAATGAGTGTGTGGAGACTTACCCAACTAGATTCTGGAGATCACAGACAAAGCGGTAGACGTAGCGCTTGCCAGCCGTCTTGTGGATTATGTTCTTGTCGTAGTAGTACCTCAGGCCGCGACTCAGCTTCTCGTAGTTCATCTTGGGCTTGTTCTTGCGTATACCCCAGCGACGTGCCACCTAAACAGAGAGACAATTGGAGATTAGTGGCTGCCATCCATGGATATCCTTCAGATGACTTACCTCATCCGGATCTGTCAGCTTAAACTCCCAGCCATCGCCCGTCCAGGAGATGAAGCTCTGGCACGTCTTGTCCAGCAGCAGTTCGAGCAGAAACTGCCACAGCTGGATGGGCCCTGAGCCCGTGAAGCACGGCACTCCGCCCTGCGTCGTGTAGCCTCCGAGCAGTGACTTGTCCAGCCCCAGGGTGCTCATGTATGCCGCCGGATGGGGATGCGTGTGTGCCCCCCACTGGTCCATGGCCGTCGGCTGGCCGCCCATCGACTGGAAGGACTGGGCATCGTAGGGCGTGAACTCTGGCGGATAGTCATGGAAGCGTCCCCGTCCGTACGAGTTGTAAAAGTCCGGGCTGCCATCCATGCCGTAGCCATTGCTGTTGCCGGTGCTGTTGTTGCCACTGCCATTGGCTCCGCTCGAGGCCTGGCTCTGGTGCTCCTGCGCCGAGATGCTGCTGTGGTAATCGCTGTCATCACCTGCCGCCCCAGTGGATGCTGTGCCTCCCCCACTGCTGCTGGCACTGCCGCCTGCGCTGTAGGCAGCGGCCAGATGCGGCGACAGGCCATAGCTGCTGAGATCTGTGGGATCGTTCTGACTGCCATTGGGTCCTCCTGCCGCATAGGATCCGCCACTGCCGCCGTTTCCGTTTTGAGTTCCGGGCTCCTCCTTCATCTGATGCTGGTAGATCGCAGCCATGGCGGCCAATTGGTAATTGATGTTGTTGTTGTTGTTGTTGTTATTGTTGTTGCTTGGATTCGTATTGTTGTTGTTGTTGCTGGTGTTGTTTGTGTCGCTGGAGCTTTGCTGTTGCACAGCAGGCGGCAGCATGGAATTGTTGCTGCTGTTGCCACTGCCACTGTTGTTGTTGGTGGTGTTCGTGTTGCCATTCTGCTGCTGTTGTTGCTGCTGTTGCTGTTGCTGTTGCTGCGGGGGCGGGCTATTGTTGGGGCGTTCATGAGTGTTGCTGCTGTAGCCTAAAAGGACACAAGATAAAAATGGTATTAGTTAGGGAATTACGTAGATGGCAGTAGATGGCAACCATCAGTAGATTGCCTCTAAATCATCTGTAACAAGATGCCCATGTACCACTCGTACCACTCCTAAATGGGGCGTCTTTGTGTGTTGGGAAGGGGAAGGGGAAGCGTGTGAAAGAGTTCGAAAACCAATCAAAAATCACAGCGCACACTCATACCAGTGGCTGATTAAGACACAG